TTTTCCACACTCACCTGAAATGGCTTCAGGAATGTTTCCTCCATTGCCAGCCTGCCATACTCAGTGAAAAGCTAGAAGAGTGCACGTACACACGCACGCACGCACGTGCACACACACACACACCAATAAAAACAGCAAAGGAAAAAAAGCTTTAGTATCTTCAAAGTTTTACTTTTTGCATTTCTTCTGTTCATTTTGCCCAGAGCTGAAGCAGAACACATATTATTAAGATTATAGCCATCACTCTCATAAAATAATTATTGTAGAGATAAAGTAGAGCTTTAAAACATTAAGGACATAAAGTATATTTTTAAAAGAAAGTTTACATTTTAAACTTAATACTTTTTATCTCTGCAATAGGGAGCACCTTTTTAGAGGGGAAGATGAGAGATGGAAGAACACGCTAAGTGGACTTGCGAAGCAGAACTCGCGTTTAGATGACAGATTCGGAACCGATACAGGATACATTTACAGAAGTTGTTTCCTGAGGAGACTGACGGCAAGGTGGTAGCCTGGGTAATTACCAAGACACACAGGCATTTGGCGTAAAAAGTGGAGACTGCAATACACTGCCTTCTCACCTTTCATTTCTCCCAAATATGATGACGAGGCACTATGATTTGAGTTTTTAGGTTGCTGTAAATACACGGTTTGGGAGAACCCTGAGAAGGTAACTGGGCTCCTGCTTTGAGTCGCATCCAGACTGGCCGCCGAGTGGGTTTCCATATCTGTCCACAGGAAATGCCACTTTATCACACACAAGAGTAAAAAGGGCCAGTGGCGTCTCAGAGGTGGGAAAGATTAGTATCCCTTGCCCTTCTAGAATAGCTTCCACACCACCACACCTCCTCTCCCTTGAGAATTATGGGGGTTTAGATAAATAATTGATGGTAGGACCTATTTGTAGGCATCTGATCAGAGTGATTAAATGGAAGTCTGGAACATCATGTTTAAAAGCCAGCTGGTCCAGGGATGAGACACGCATTCTCAATAAGAATTATTTTGTAACATATCTTGAATTCAAAATCTTTTCTGAAGAAAGCTAAGGTGTTGCCATTTACAAGAGAATATTTTAAATTTCCTCAAAAAATTTTTTTACTTACTCATTTTCAAAATCCAGAATCAGTCTTTTTTTTTTTTTTTTTAAGAAACCCTTAACTGGTATCAACACACTACTGTGTCATGAATTCTTATTACAAAAAACTTCTAAATGCTGTTTCATTTATAGCCTACTTGTCATAAGTGATCAGTGTAAGGCCAGATTGAGAAGCCTATTAGAAGTAGAACAGCCCCTATTGTTTTTCTCAATTGCTAGCCATTCCAGAGTAAAAGGCCCAACAACATCTCAAAGTTGAGATCTGTACACTGCAAAGATTACCAGGTAAACAGAGAAGATATAAATGCTATTACCTGGAGGTGCTGAAGATCATCCTCCTGGACATTTTGTGATAAGTTATATACCTAGGTTAAGAAATAAAGTCTAAATGAAGGAATAATTAACATCATCTAAATTCTTATTTTATCATCCTCTATGTTTTGGAATAACAATGATCACACAATCAAAATCTTACATGCATTCTTATGTAACATTATTTATAAGATCTTGATAGAAGAGTGAAGGAAACTTGAGAGAAAACAGTGTACAAAGTCTATAAAATTGTCCTAGAAATACAATAAGTACCTGCTCTGAAGAAAGAACATTAAAATTATTTTATCAACCTAAGTTTGCAAAAAGCCTATAAAATGATCATTCTTCCCAGAATAACCAGAATAATAGTCTAAATTTGAACAATTCATATGGAAACAAAATGTTTTGAAAAATTACTTATTTTCCCACAATCAATTAGCAATGTCTATGGAATGTTCCAAGGAGCTCTTGTGGTGCAATGGTTAAAGTGCTCACTCTAACCCACAGGTCAGCAGTTTGAGCCACTAGCGACACTTCAGGAGAAAGACATGGCAAGAGGCTTCAGCAACGATGTAGAGCCTTTAAGACAGTTCTACTCTGTCCTGTTGGGTTGCTGTGAGTCTGAACTGACTTGATGGCAGTGGATGTGGTTTTTAGTTTCTAGACTGTTCCATAGCATGGAAGTAGGCTTCTGATTATTAGGCTCACATCTTTACACATATACATTATTGCTTCATGAGCAGCTGACTTGATCAAAGTGACTTTCTTTCTTTTTTGAAGATAGTAAATATTAGTAACCTCGAAGAAAAGTTAAGGATGCTTTTATGTTTACTGATAGAAACAATATGCTTTGTGTAGTTATTTAAATAACAGATTATTTCTCAAATAATAAAAAAATTATAACTAAGGACTTAGATTTTCACTGACAATATTCAATGGCTTCAGATCAAATATAAATAGTACGTAAATATTTAAAGGCAAAATCCATCTGGTTTTAATTATCTACATCTCTTGTTGATTATGAAGCAATTAGCTATTAAATCAGTACTTAAAAAATATTTAAAAGGCTCATTCCATTTAGTAAGTGCATTTTTAAAAGGCTAGTGAATCACAGGTTATAGTCATGACTTTTAAAGTGCTTTAGGGGACAAAAAATGAGTTTTTCCTTTCTCCTCTGTCCACCCTCTCTTGGTGGTCCTGATCAGATTCTCTAGCCTATGGTGACCTCATGGCTGTTCATTAGCTCCATTTTCTCTACTTACTGACTCCCACTTCATAATGTCAGCCTTGTCTTATATCTTGACCAGTTCGCCTCAGCTACATTTTAAGCTACCTTACACTTTCCGACTGACCTGCTCTGCTCTGCTTCTTAGCCACTCTCTTACTCTCTGTGCTCTCTAAGGAAGAAAAACTACCTAAAGATAGTCCTGAATTCTATTATGCTATGTGCTCATGGCTATAGCAAGAATCCAGGGACTTTCAGAACAATTTAGCAAGTCTACAAGACCTTCAAAAACAATACTTTAAAAATAAGTGAAAAAAACAGAAAAGGAAAGGAAGATTTCAAACATTATATGAAGACATTTACTTCACTAAATATATATTAAAGTGTTTTAAAAAGCTCTTAAGTGTTTTTACATTTAGAAATTTCCTCCTCATTATGCAAGGCAAATTTTGCATTATCTTGTTTCATTAAGCATAATTTATCATACGTATCCCTAATGTCTGCATATAAGATTTAATATTATTAAGCTTATGATAGTCTTTAAATGGATAAAAATTATCAATCCGACAAGATAACCTTTTTTGACTAAAGTAGGCAATCTGAAAAATGATCAATAATTATACTACTAACAGAAACAGTTCTACTCTTACAGATATCATAAGAATCAGTATGTTAATTTACTCATATTATAGACATGATTTACCATGCTTGTCTCATTACCACATATAGGTAGAAACACAAATATTCTTAAGTTTTAGTTTAAAAATGTTCATCAAAATAGATTCATTTTATTCCATACCTGTATTGAGCTGATCATTGTGCTAAGGGCAAATACTGTGGCCGAATCTCTCAAAGTTGATTGACTATCAAAGGTTCCCTGAGTATCCATCAGTAACACTGCAATCTACAGGCAAGTAGAGGATATTATTTCTAGAACATATAGACAATTAAGGCTATCACATGTTAACACCATATGAACTAAAACAAACCATAATCATTGAATTCCTAATAAGTAATTTCTTACATGTGTCATGAGTGCCACAGAAAATCAAACGATTACTTAGCTGCTGATTGCTGCCATGGTTCATTTTCATTAGCTATCCAACATCACGAAAACAGCACAGCAATGGAAACAAATACAGATGCCAGCATGCTGTCTGCTGTTCTATGGCCCTTACAATTTACCTCGCCTGGTCACTAGGGAGGGGGCATGCAATTGGATGCGACTCCCCACCTTCTTTAAGCTGCCTGTGTTTTCAGAGGTGCATTTCCAAGAATCTTAAAAAAAAAAAAAAAAGGTAATCCATGCAAGTGAAAACTCGATTTTATTCGAGAAGATACACGCCATACCTTTTTGCCATCAGGCTTATTGATAAGGAAGATTTCGCTCCATATCTGGATACCCGTGGTCTCTCGTTCGGATCCACCTCGCCATGAAAAACCGGTCAACGGTTCATTGTAATCTCCAACCCAGTCGATCGATTCCTGTAAATTAGTAAAGTCAGTGATGTGGAGCTGGAAATGTCTGTACAGTTTTTCCGTTCATCCGTTCCCATCCTCATCCTGCTCCCACTCTAGTGGAAAGAAAACAACATACGCATATTTCCTGCATTGACACAAACACTTTATTTATTCATCCAAAAACCAATTACAGGGGAGCAACCATATGCCACATTCTGTGCTCAGTCCTGGGGCTTTAAAACCGAAATGACACCATTCCACCAGAGGAAGCTCACAACTGACAGGAAGACCGACGTGCTAACAAGCCATTATGGTGCAATGCATGGTCAGCCAAATGGAACGTGTGTGCAGGGCATTCGTGGAAACAGCAAAGGAAAACCAACTCTTCATCAGGCAGGATTTCATAGTAGAGGAGGTGTGGGGGCTAAGATTTGGCCATTGCTTAGGAATTTTTAGGAAAAAATTAAGGTATGGGAGTGCACATTAATGTCAGGGCACACTGAAACATTCGATGCTTAAATGGCATCAAGATGGGTTTGGGTTGGGGAGTGCAGAGGGCAAGCAGCATAAGGAGATGCTAGACAGAGATCCGGAAAGGCTTTGTCAGGTACTTAAGGAAATTTGGGTTTATCAGTGAGTAGGGAGCTATGAAAAATCTGAAATAGAACAACATCATAGTTGGAGTTAAAAGATTATTCTGGATGCTTTACAGCAGCAGTTCTCAACCTGTGGGTCGTGACCTCTTTGGGGGTCGACAAGTGCTGCGATCCCTTTCACAGGGGCACCCGATTCATCACAGTAGCAAAATTACAGTTACGAAGTAGCAGTGAAAATAATTTCATGGAAAAAAAATTAACAATTTTATGGTTGGGGGTCACCACAACATGAGGAACTGTATTAAAGGGTCGCGGCATGAGGAAGGTTGAGGGCCACCGCCTTACAGGGTAGGCCGTCGGCAAGGAAGTAATAGTTAAGAGCAAAACTGTGGCTGTTACAAAGCTAAAACCTGAAGCAGGGCCCTATGGATGCTGAGGTAAGTGGTATTTGGGAAGCCAACGGAAAAAAGAACAAAGTAACTGTCAACTGTATAAAATACAGGGGAAAAAATCAAGTAAGATCAGGAATGGAAGATAGCACTTAGATTTAGTAATTAGTCGGGGTGACCTTGGTTAATAGTAATTACACTTATTTTGTTATTTGGTAGAGAAAATAAGTTATTAATATTAGAAAGTCTCATTAAATAACCTTCAAATCTAAAACCCTATGAATAAAAATATAAAACCTTACTAACACAGAGGAATTGGGGAATAGACTATTTGAATTAGTAATAACTTTATATGGACTATTACAAAAGAAATTTTATTTAGTTATATCTTGTCTTATTCTATAGGCCCTTATAGAAAGCTTAATTTTGATTATTTCATAAATTGGCTCCATTACGTCGGATAGTGTGAGACATGACAAAATAACAATTTATAAATTATTAAGTGTTCATGAGGGAGGGAGAGAAGGGAGGGGAAAAAATGAGGACCTGATACCAAGGGCTCAAATAGAAAGCAATTGTTTTGAGAATGATGATGGCAACAAATGTGCTTGACACAATGGATGTATGTACGGATTGTGATAAGAGTTGTACGAGCCCCCAATAAAATGATTTTTTAAAAATTGGCTCCACTATCTAACAGCCACTTAATTCAACCTTATTTCCTCCTCATTGCCAATACTTAAGTTCTACTAAGATGTACCATCTGCTTGATGCATAATCACACTCATCACAAGGGTCACACCTTTTCTGGAGTCCCTGTTAGTCTAGACCAGCGGTTCCCAACCTGTTGGTCGCGATCCCTTGGGGAGTCGAACGACCCTTTCACAGGGGTCGCGTGATTCATAACAGCAGCAAAATTACAGTGATGAAGTAGCAACGAAAATAATTTGATGGGGGGTCACCACCACATGAGGAACCGTATGAAAGGGCCGTGGCATGAGGAAGGTGGAGAACCGCTGGTCTAGAATGTCTCTGTGTCCTCCTCCTCCTCCTCCTCTTCCAAATCTCGCACATCTTCAAAGTCCTCCAGAGTCTTAATGTTTTATGGCGCGTTCCCTGACAACTCCTTCCTATGCACTTCTTTTTCGCTTACGCAATAGATGAGGCCCCCATTTAACATTTTCTATGCTTATTGTGCAGTGAGGTGGGTTATGTTGTCCACATTGGGCCAAGGTCTCAGTAACCTTCCGATGAATGTTATTTATGTTCAGAAACACGTGGGCTCATACTTAATGCTGATCTAATATTTCGTGGGCCTTAGTTCTGTCTCCTTGGTCAGACCTTGAGGTGTAAGTGCAGAATCTATCTCCTTCGGAATCTACTACAGTACAGCACAGTGCAGGAGTCAATAAATCCTTAGTAATTAATGTTATAATTAGAGTTAGCGTACTATAGATTTGCCTAGGAAAGAGTGTTGGGACACATACTTTAACAAAAACATGATGATAATTAGGAATTAGCATAATGATAACATTATTGTAACATCAACTCAGGTCAATGATCAATTTGGGATATTTATAAAAGCTCTATGCCTGAACATGATCTGAAAGACAAGGAAGAGATACACAAATAGTTACTTTCAAATCAAACCAGTTGGCATCAAATCAACTTCAAGTCAAAGTGCATATGTAGGCCACTGCTCCAAATCACTGTTGTGGTTAGGTGCCATCGAGTGTGTTCTTGACTCATAGTGAGCCTATGCACCACAGAATGAAATGCCCCCCTCACAATTGTGCTTATGCTGGAGCCCCTTTCTGCACATGATTGACAAGGTGGTAAACTGTCATGGAAGCAGGCTGCTACCTCTTTCTTGCATTGAGTGGCTAGTGGACTGAAACCACTTTCTGATTAGCAGTCAAGTGTTGTCTCCGACTGCACTGCCAGGGCCCTAGAGTTACTCTGGCCGATCATCCACTGGGGCATCCTTTTATCTATTTATTCACACATCATTTACTTGTTGCTATGTTCCGGGTACTATGATAGTTTCAGGACAAACTCAGAGCAGTTTTCCTACCATAAAGAACATAGATCATCTCTCTTTAAATCTAACGTTGCCATTTAAACATGAAAGGTAATTCCATAGGCAGAAATGAAAATAGTATTTGGTGCAAAAATCAGTAATAACATGCCTTTATACAAGGCACAGCTAGACAAATGTTCAGATTTGCTCCTATTTTCTGAATGCTTTCTAGACACAAAAGCAAAACAAATATGGTACACCTGAATGTAAGCAAATGTTATTTACCACAGACAATATCACAAGTGTCGCTGGGTGTTTCATCTTAATGTTTACATAACATGCCTAAAACTGTATGATCCCCCAAATGGAAGGTAAATTATTTTGTTTATTAACTTTCCCAGCTGCCTTAAGTAGCTGACGCTAGAAACAGAAAATGGTGCATTTTATTTGCTTTCAGTGCTGGGATTTTTGTGGTAATTCTGTTCTTGAGTTGTTTGAACTGAAGCTAGAGATTAAAACTGTTAATGCTAACATTGCAACACAGCTCAAAAACCCCTCAACTCTGAAGGGTAATCCAAGATGGATGAGGACAGCGTCAATGCATAATACAAAGTTTCTTTGAGTTGCATAGTCTCTTCTGCCTCAAAATCTGTTTGCATTGGAATTGCAATGGAGAAAAAGGGAGAAAATACTAGCATGTTCTCCTTTGCCAACTCTTTATTTCCCAAGATGAAATTGTCTGCTCCTGTAGTGATTTACAATCTCAGAAACCCTATACAGGGTCACCGTGAATCAGAATCTAGTTGACAGCAGTGGGTTTAAGCCGCTGAAAGTCTCACTTTCTCCTTTCTGTGTCACTCTGTTGGCTCAGACATTATGACACTGTCAGTTGCCTTTAGAGGTGGGGCAAAGGGACAGACTGACTGAGACAATAACATTCTGTGCTTTATTAGGGATTTGGATGACACGGGGGTATATGAATTTGCTAAAATTCTATGGATATACAATTAAGATATTTGTATTTTATTGTTTATAAAATTTACCTTAAAAGGTAAAAGCTAAATAAAAATATGGATAAATATGATGTATATAAATATGTTGAAGTATTTTTGGAAGAAGTTTATTTTGGAATGCAGTTTTAAAAATAAGATGGTACATAGAGATATGCAAGGTGGTGATATGTGTGATGAAACAAGGCTATTAGTGTTCATGGTAGAGGCTACATTGTGGGAACCCAAATGCTCACTGTAAAATTCTTGGAACTTCCGTGTATACTTGAAAATTTTAACAAAAATATTGAAAACAGAATTACATTTTAAAAGTTATGACAAAAATTCTTGGACATTTGAGGCATTGTAATATGTAAAGTTGATATCATATCACTATCATATGTTTATCGTGAAAAAAGTAAAACAGTTATGTTTTTAAAAAAATACAGCAAAGTAGCACCAGAGAAAAGTGTTCAGTGTAGTTTGGTCCCCAAAACATGGAGCATGGGATGGCCAGACCATTGTGTTTTTGCACAGGTGCGTGTTCATACTTAACGGTACACAGTAATGAGGTAGACGTATTGAACACTACGACGGGAGAAGACAAAGCGACAGAAGCACAGAAACAACAGAGCTTTCAAACACCTTTTACATACCTGGTTGTACATGTATCTCAACATGAAGTCCATCAGGAATGACTTTCCTTTCCTGAAGGCGCCCGCCACAGACACAGCAACCACTTCCTTGTCCCGGACAGCCTCTGAGAGCAGGATCCGATTCAGTGCAACTTCATCTAACTCAAAGGAATGGTCATCTTTGACAATGAGGACCTGTACTGGTCCTGCCTTTTTCACTGGCTCCTCCTCTTCTGAGCTCCATTCATAGGACTTTTCTGAAAACCCCCCTGTGGAACAAAACAGCAACTGGGTACAGCTGACCATCTCATAATGCACAGAAATGTACGTAGGCATACCTCATTTTACTGTGCTTGCTTTACTGGGCATAGCAGACAGCATCTTTACAAAGTGAAGGGTTATCGCAACCCTGTGTGGGCTCTAATAAATTGGGGGGACTTTGAGAAGAATGGGAATTCCAGAACACTTCCTTGTGCTCATGAGGAATTTGTACACGGATCAAGAGGCCGTTGTGTGACCAGAACAAGGGAATGCTTCATGTTTTACGATCAGGAAAGCGGTACATCAGGGTTGTATGCTCTCACCACAATTGTTCAATCAGGATGCGGTGCAAATGTTCAGAGAAGCTGGATGATATGGAAGGATATGGCATCAGGATTGGAGGAAGGCTTATTAACAACCTGCAATTTGCAGAGGACACCACCTTGCTTGCTGAAAGTGAGGAGGAAACAAAGCACTTGCTGGTGAAGATCAAAGAGTGCAGCCTTCAGTATGGATTAGGACTCAATGGACAGAAGACCCAAATCCTCACAAGTGGACCAACAGGTAACATCATGATAAATGGAGAAAGGGTTGAAATTGTCAGGGATTTTATCCTGCTTGGAACCACAATCAGTGCTCACAGAAGCAGCAGTCAGAGCAACAGACACATTGCGTTAGGTAAATTTGCTACACATGATCTCTTGAGTATTGAAAAGCAAGGATGCTACTTTCATGACTAAGGTTTGCCTGACCCACGCCATGGTATTTTCCACTGCCTCATATGCATGTGAAAATTGGACACTGAATAAGGAAGACTGAAGAATCAATGCATTTGAATTGTAATGCTGGAGAAGAAAGTTCAAGTACTATGGACTGCTAAAAAGACAAATCTTGTAAGAAGTGCGTCAGAATGCTCTCTGTAGGCAAGGATGGCGAGTCTTTGTCTTTCTTACTTTGGACATGCTGTCAGAAGAGACCAGTCCCTGGAGGAGGACATCATGCTTGGTAATATTGAAAGGCAGCAAAAAAGAGGGAGTCCCTCGAGGAGATGGATTGACACAGTGGCTTGAGCCACAATGGGCTCAAAAAAGAAACAAACTCACTGCTAACTCAGAGTCCTCCTGTGGGTTTCCAAGACTGTAACTGTTCACTGGAGTAGAAACCCATTCTTTTTTTTAAAATCATTTTATTAGGGGCTCATACAACTCTTATCACAATCCATACACACATCAATTGTGTAAAGCGCATTTGTACATTCATTGCCCTCATCATTCTCAAAACATTTCCTCTCCACTTAAGCCCCCGACATTAGGTCCTCATTTTTCCCCTCCCTCCCTGCTGCCCCCTCCCTCATGAACCCTTGATAGTTTATAAATTGTTATTTTGCCATATCTTGCCCTGTCCGACGTCTCCCTTCACCCACTTTTCGGTTGCCCGTCCCCCAGGGAGGAGGTCACATAGAGTTCCTTGTAATCCGTTCCCTCTTTCCTACCCACTCTCCCTCTACCCTCCCTGTTTCGCCATTCACACCACTGGTCCTGTAGGGCTCATCTGCCCTGGATTCCCTGGATTTTCCATTCCTATCTGTACCAGTGTACCTCCTCTGGTCTAGCCAGACTTGCAAGGTCGAATTCCAGTCATGGTAGTGGGAGCGGGGAGGAAACATTTAGGAACTAGAGGAAAGTTGTATTTTTCATCGTTGTTACATCGCACCCTGACTGGCTCATCTCCTCCCCAGACCCCTCTGCAAGGGGATCTCCAGTGGCCTACTAATGGGCTTTGGGTCTCCACTCCGCACTCCCCCCATCATTCACTATGGTAAGATTTTTTGTTCTGATGATGCCTTATACCTGATCCCTTCGACACCTCGTGGTTGCATAGGCTGGTGTGCTTCTTCCATGTGGGCGAAACCCATTCTTTCTCCTGAGGAGCTGCTGGTGGATTTGAACTACTGACCATGCAGATCGCAGCCCAACTCATAACCACTATACCACCAATGCTCCACTATAGTGTAAATATACATAATTTCTATATGCACTAGGAAACTGAAATACTTGTGTGACTCACTTTATTATGGCGGTCTGGGACTGAGTGTGCAATATTAATAAAGGTGTGCCTGTACATCCCTCTCAGCTCTCAAACACCTCACACAGGAACAGGGGGAATTAGAAATGCTCACTTTAATGTCATATGTTAATGTCATTCATACCATATACCAGAGAGACTTTATTTGGTCTGACTGATCATATGAGTTTTCATATCTAGAAAGCTCTAAGTCAGTGTAGAGAGGGCTTTTTGCTGATGAGTGAGAAAAATCAAAACAGAGGACTCCCCTTTTAGAGCAGATGAAATGGCTTTAATTCACACTTCCTTCATCACCTAGAAATAAGCTTATTCATTCTTATGATCCTGGCAGCACTTCTTCAAGCTGAACAGACGTATAAGAGGCAATTTACAGAGCACCACAGAATCTCAAGATTGGAATAAACCTCTAAAATTGTTAAGGTTGGTTCCTTTCAACGCATAAATCTCATTCATAAAAGCCTAGACTCTAAATGTCTAAATTTATAGCTTAAAGCATTGGGAAGCACAGATCATTAAATTGGGTGGGGTCAATTTGATTTAAGGACCTTCAATTCTTTGTCAAAGAGGACTACTTCTAATTCAATAAAAATGACGAAACTTCTGACGAGCTTTCTTGCAAACTGTTTAGGCCTCGTGTTTTATTGTGAGTTGGCATCAGCTCGATGGCAGAGCTTGGTTTATTGGGACCTCAAACTTTACTGATTATAATATGATAACTATTGTTAGCAGTAACAAAACATTTTACTTCTCCCTGAGACACATTTGGTACATTATACTTTAGTAATTTTTCCTTATTTTCTGAAGTTTCAGACAAAGTGTCACTGAATATATGAATAGCATCATTAGCCATCCTGATCTGCTATCCTGACCTATATATTCAATAATCACAGGAACATATGTATTTTTAATGTATATGTACTGTTTACCAAATAGACCATATACTGCTTCATAAATCAGATCTCATCAAACTTTGAACTATTAAAACTAATGAAGCTATTTGTGGTAGTTACGTAATCTGATGTCAGTTTGAGAGGATTATGAGTGAAGAGATGGAGTCTGGCCTGTCAATCAAGATATAACCAATAAGGCCTCTGTGTGGGCATGGCCTTCTCCTGAGAATTCTGGGAATTCCTGTATTTCCTCCTTGGAGGCAGGAGACACCTTTCTCTCTCCGCTCACTCCCTTGCAGACTCTTTACTGACAAGGTTGACTCCCTGTGAAACATCTCTGAGGAGAAGTCCCATGGACTCACCCTGATGCAGCCAGAACCCTGGACCTGGAGAATCCATGTGGAGACCCCTCCCAACACTGAGATGCGTACAATGCCACTGGATCTATAAGACTTCCCACCCACTGGCCTGTGATCTTCCTGCATTCAGCATTATTGCATGTGTTTCATGAGTCTGAAGAAGACTTTATAAACTGGTGTCGAACATATGGGCTAATATTGGATTTACGGACTTGTTCTGGACTGAGCTGGGGCATTTTCTCAATATCCAACTGTTCTTTATATAAAACTCTCTCGTATACACATTTGCGTGTCTATGGATTTGTTCTTCTAGTCTCCCTGGGCTAACACGCTGTTTTTTGGCCATAGGAGAATAAAATATGTTAAAGAAGACTTAAAATTTTTCAAGTGTATGGGGATTAAATAATAGGTTTCCAAATGAATTATGATTAAATGAAAATTAGAAAATGTTAATTAACTGATAATTCATATATGGCACATAAAAACAGAGAAAATGTATACCTTGAAATGTATGCAGTAGGAAAAAAGTTTGAAAAATTAGACTTTAACATCCACCTTAATAATTGAGAAAATACCAAATTAAATGCAAAGAAAAAGAAAAGGTAGAAACTAATTCTTTGAAAATAAAGCTCATAAACCAATGCAACAGAAATAAAGATCATTAAGACTGATTTAGTAAAGACTGATCAAAGAATAGAGGAAAAGACACTTATTACCAATATCATTTGAAAAAGGAGATATCATTATAGGTCTTATAAATATTTTAGGACCTTATGAATAATTTTATGCAAAGAAATTTGATACCTTTGACAAAGTGGATAGCATTTTAGATATCATGAAGAATGACGCTGAGAAAATACAAACATTTTCATCTTTGAAATTAAATGCATAATTAAAGGCATAATTAAAGACTTCATATAAAGAAAACTCCAGATACACTTAGCTTTCCTAGCAAAGTATCCAAACATTTAGGGAAAAAAAGAATACCAATGTCACACAAACTTCTCTAGTGAGCAGAAAATGACAGATCAGTGTCAGCTTATTTTATGAGGTCAAAACAACTTTGAGACCAAAAAACTGATAAAGATTCCATACAAAAGGAAAATTAAAAAGTAGTATCTCTTAATAAGGTAAACTCAGAAGTCCTAAGCAAGATCCAGGGAGTGTCTGGGTTACAGATCTCTGACTTACATGTAGGTATGAACCAATTCCCATAAAGTCTATTATATTAAAATTGAAGGTACATAAAATGGTTCATAATAACAAATGTTGCAGCCTGTGTTATATACCAAAACATTATTATGACTGCAGTATTATGTTAAAGATGTTTTCAGTGTATCTTGAAGTGCTCCTTTAATGTTTGTTATGTATAGAAAGGTACATTGTACACCATATAAAAGACAAATCTTTGACTAACTGATGTTAGATACACCTAACAGTTCCGACTTATGTACTAACTCATCTTAAAGACAGATTTAGTTAAGAACTTGTTCATAATCTGTGGACAGCCTGGATAGCAAATTAAATCCAACAATACATTTTAAAATGGATATAGCACTAGTGATATTGATTATAAGAATTTAGGGTTGGTTTAACATCTCCAAGTCCATTAATGTAATTCACTATGGCAAGATTTTTTGTCCTGATGATGCGAAGGCTATCAATCTTTATGGG